TATATATATATATATATATATATATATATATATATACGCAATGTTTTGGTTTTTGCTGCTGATTTGACTTCTCACACGAGGGATCGGTGAGATTGCTTATACGCATACATGCGAAAGAAAGTAGCCGTGCGCACATGCACTAGTAGAAACGCGCACGCACACGTGGCGACGGCAGCACGCACGCATGAATGCGCGCTTGTTTACCTTTCGAGGAGCTCGCTACGAGTCCCAGCTCGGCGGAGATGACGACGCAGGTGACCTCTCGGTCGTGACCTGTCAAGGTCGTGCGCGGGGTCGGTAGCTGACCCGGAGCCGTGCTCTCCCCCACCAGCATCTGTACGGAGAAAGAGAGAGAGAAAGGCGACCGTGAAGGAAGCTTCACAAACAAGTTATTCAGAAGAACAAGTTTAATTCTTAAATGATGTGAAAAAAATGTTTCATCCCTGAAGAAAAATGTCTTTCGGAAAAACAACAAGCGTTTAATTCTTAAATGACGCGAAGAAAACTATTCTATCGGAGGCTTTCTGTCATTCTTAAACGACGTGTTTGAAGGAAGAAAGCGAATCCCGACCTTCGAAATCCACTCGATCGTTCTAACTCTACCTAATAATACTCGGTGCTGGGCATTGGCACTCCAAAGATCCCCTCCCCCTCCCCCTCCTCCCCTTCCCTCCTCCCCTCCCCTCCCCCGCGCGTACCTGTAGGCGTGCGCTCCAGTCCCACAACATGACGGTGGCGTCGCGGGAACCCGTGGCGATGTAGCAGTCGGACGTGATGTTACACTCTGAGCGAGCGAGGCAGGTGACGATGTCGTAGTGACCGTAGATGATCTGTGTGATCGCAGCTGCCGACAAAGAAAACATGCACTGTTAGATACAGAGAGGGGGAGGAAGGAGAGAGAGGGGGAGAAGAGAGAGGGAGAGGGCGAGGGGGAGAGGGCGAGGGGGAGAGGGCGAGGCAGGTGACGATGTCGTAGTGACCGTAGATGATCTGTGTGATCGCAGCTGCCGACAATGAAAACCATACGTGTTGTCAGATATATGAACGATGGAGAGGGGGACAGGGGGAGGGAGAGGAAGAGGAAGAGGGAGAGGGGGAGGGTTAGGAAAGGATGGAGGGGAGGAGTGTAAGAATTCATGCTGAACACTCTACATGACCCTTATACACAGGTTCGATAGGACCATACATACCGGAGTCCAGCTCAAACACTCTACATGACCCTTATACACAGGTTCGATAGGACCATACATACCGGAGTCCAGCTCAAAAACTCTCAGTGACCCTTATACACAGGTTCGACCGCAATTACAATTACTGAACTCTGCGCTGAACACTCTTAAGTGACCCTTATACACAGGTTCAACCACAATTACAATGACTGAACTCTGCGCTGAACACTCTTAAGTGACCCTTATACACAGGTTAGACCGCAATTACAATTACTGAACTCTGCGCTGAACACTCTTAAGTGACCCTTATACACAGGTTAGACCGCAATTACAATTACTAAACTCTGTGCTGAACACTCTTAAGTGACCCTTATACACAGGTACGACCGCAACGACGACGAGTACCTGAGTCCGTGTTGAACACGCGGAAGCTGTGGTCCCAGAACCCGCAGGCGACGATGAACTTGCTGTCGATCGTCGTCACAAAACAATTGGCCCTCATCCGGACGCGCTGCGCGATGTTGTTACACAGGCTGCGACGATTCTGCGTCGCTGCCGGGCTGCCGGCTACAAACAAGACAGCGTATAAAACACCAGGGGGCGCTGAGCAACTATGCAGTAAATTGCATGATATATATATACATATATATATATGTATATATATCTATATATGTGTGTGTGTGTGTATATATATATCAAGAGTAAATAATCACAAAAAATTATTTCGTGATCAAAATAATTCGTGATTATTCACTCCATATATATATATATATATATATATATATATATATATAATT